TTGTGCTATAATTGGTGAAATGGTTAATTCAAAAGAGTGACTTCATGTGTATTATTTTTGGTGATTTTTCGTCTGAATAAATTATATATATATATCTATATTTGTATGGGAAAATTGTGTGCAAGGAATTTGGGTCAAGTTGTTCTTGGTTTCTATACTTGACTAAAACCGCTCTACTCGACCGGCGTACGTTTAATCCTTAGGAGATCAGCTCTCTAAGTGATGGACGGCGTCCGGGTTCAACAAGCGTTTAATCACGTATACCTATACTACAGTGTGCGATCAAACGTCCTCGGCTGACCCACCTCTGCAACTGCATATAAAAGCTTTCGCATGTGGGTCAGTAGCTCGGTAGGGATACGCCCCTGAAAGCTTCTACCCCGCGGAAAACTATCCTATCGTAGGGGACCGCGGGATGTACAAGTTGGCGCACCCAACTAGAGTGGCGAAGGGACGACGCGATCGTGCACCGCCTCGGCGGCTCACGGAAAATATTTCACGTCGTTCCCAAGTTGTCTCCGTGTTTTGTTTTATCGTGTAACTCCTGCGTAACGTGGCTGGGAGGGCCCTCGCTCACGTGGGGGCCGATGCGCTCGACAACAGTCGTACGTGAACGTGCGCCTGAGCGACAGTGAATCAGCCTCAGATTTCCTGTGTCGAGGTAGCGATTGTATCCTACATGCAACTACCCTAGTCATGCTATGTTGGGTGAGATCCAGATGTTTCATTCATATCCATGCCATTCATGTTGACAAAAAGGAGAGAAAAGGGGAAAGGGACAATCAACATCTCATAGCGTTCTTGGTGGCCTTATGACGATCAAAGACTAACAATAAAAACCCAAACATCCGTAGCGGGTGCTTTCGATCAGATGCAAATGGATAATAGAATTAAACACGCGTCGCAAAACAAGATCGGAAATCTGAAAAGATTACTAATAAAGAAGAGTTCACATCCGTTCATTAATACATACGAGGCAAAAGCGACAAAGAAAATCCGAGACGATTTACAAGGAAATGTCTGAAAAGGCCGCAACAAAATCGGCCAAAGCAGAAACCAAAATTATACAGACGAGCAAAAGAAAGAACCTCACCCCGCACCCACAACTGCTCTCTCTCTCTCTCTCTCTCTCTCTCTCTCTCTCTCTCTCTCTCTCTCTCTCTCTCTCTCTCTCTCTCTCTCTC